TTGTATTGTACGTTGCCAGTTTGAGATCATGAGAATCCACTCTCTTTCGTACATCGATAATTTCGTTGCTGAAGCCAGCAAGGTAATTTCGGATTTTTTCACCGTAATTATCGAAAGCAATCTTGAAATCTAACTTTATTTGCGATATAACTTCATCCACATATTGTTTGTTTGCAACATCAGCGACATCTGTTGGCAGTTTTACGTTACACATCTTCAAATGACCAACATCAATATCACCGGTTGGAGTATGTGAAAATCCAGATCTGACTGTCACCATCTGAGCTGAGCGTGGAAACGAACCACGTCCGAATTTGTCGAGACTCATTATGCTAATGACTAAAGTATTGTACGTTATCGATAATGGTCGGCACTTTGCCTCGCCAATTATTAGCCCCTTCACTCATAGACATGCCATGGACGTGTCACGGAACTGTCAAGGAAGTGTCACGGAACTGTCACGGAAGTGTCAAGGAAGTGTCACGGAACTGTCACGGAACTGTCATGGAAGTGTCAAGGAAGTGTCACGGAACTGTCACGGAAGTTGTCATGGAAGTGTCACGGAAGTATCACAGAAATGTTACACATGTTTTATTATGCCTGCCTCTTCTAATTCGTTCAAGATGGCAACAATCTCGTTATCGTTTGATGTATTTCCAGCTTGCTGTGATGCAATGAGCAACTTCAATCTATCTACCAATTCATTTGGATCATCCCAATACATGTATTCGATAGGTGCTGTGTTGTATGTCAACTTCAAACCACGACCACTGGAATTGGATCTGAACATTGGACGAATAATTTCTACGTATTTGAGTCTAGAGGAGGACTTCATACGTCCTGCAGAATTCAGATGAGCTTTGGTGAGCAAGAGTATTTGCTTGTATGGGTTCGTATCATCTTTGGCAAAGGATGGATCATTATAGAAGAGTAATTGATAGAGGCCTGGGGTGCCACGGAACCGAAAGCCATCAAGAAGTATATCTCCAGTTCTTCGATGGAAATTCATTTCTTTTCCGTTGAGAGACCATTTCGATGTTACTGGATCATATTTGGGACCATAAACCGTATCGATATTTTCATCATTTGTCCAGTATTCAGTCAGATATTTTTGAGCCATCGCAGGATACTGATCAACGTAATCATGTATTGCAGCCGGTGAGATATTTTCACTATCTACAAAAAGTTCATCATCAGCATCGTCATAACCATCCTCATCATCATCTTCAGTATGCCCAGCATTATCAGCCACATCCATCATAGGTATGAAATTAGTTTGATTCAAATCCGATTGCTCCCTCTCAACCTCCCCATCCTCTTCCTCCTTCTTCTCCTTCTTCAACCCCAACGATTTTGCTCTGCTTCGCTTGATGTTTGAAAGCGTTCCATCGAGTTTTTCTTTTATTACCTTGGACGTGGTGGCAATTTGTTTCAAAGGTGATGTCAGTGGTTGGAATATTTTCTGTAACGCATCATCATCCTCAGACTTGCCCAATTTTAGTGCTAAATATTTTCTTCTGATTGATTTCGATAGTTCGTTGATTTTTTTCTTGCGCAGCGCATCAGCAACATCATCATGCATCTTGGTTGACGTCATCTTGATGAATGGTCCAGAGATCACAGTCTTATGAACTTATCGAAACCATTTCTATATCTGCCAGCATTCATATCGAAAGTTTTTGCAATCACCATCGCACCATATTGGTTGGAATTCCAACACTCTGAGCACAATGCTTTAAATTTATCGAATGACATGTCTGGTGAGACATGCTCGTCGAACACATGCTTCAAATTCATTTCATCCTGTCGAAATAACACCAACAGGTTACTGTTGTCTCGCACCAGCTGCTTCGGTATCTTAGAAAAAGTCTGGCATAGGTATGCTACGTCAATATCCTTGTGTCTACACATTGAAAAATATTCTCGAATTTTTTGCTGCTTGTCGCATGATACATCATCAAAAATGAATATCGAATTATTTTTCGCTTCTGATGGACTAATGACATCATCATTTTCTTTAAAGGGAAAATACCCAACACCTTTCACTGAATCCAACACTTGTTGCAGCAATTGATATTTCGGTTGGTACAACGACTTTGAATACACGTAAACGTTCTCGAATTTCGCGCCATTTGGATTGAACAGCAGGGAAAGCATCGCATTGGTCTTTCCACATCCGCTTGGTCCGCAGAAGATTGCTCTGAACGAATGGGGAAGCAGTTTCCCATGTTTACTATTTACTGGTGGTTTGGTTGACAAAATTTCATCCAAATTCACAATGGGTAACATCCGTTCTTGTTGAATGATCTTCATCATGTGATGATATATTTTTCATTTCATTAGGTATATGCAGAGTTGTCGAACTTCCTACACGTCAGTCTTCATGTTGCTCTACCACGGAGAGGGTGTGCTTAATTCTCTGATCGATAAACTTCCCATCGAATTACACATTCCAGGCTACAGATTTTGTGGTCCAGGTACCAAACTCGATAAAAGACTTGCAAGAGGAGACACCGGTATCAATCCGTTGGACGACGCGTGTCGAGAACACGATATCGCCTATTCACAAAATTCCTCAATAGAAGACAGGCACAAAGCTGATTGGATATTGGAAAATAGAGCGTGGGAGAGAGTCAAGTCGAAGAACGCTAAATTCAAAGAGAAGGCTGCTGCTTGGCTTGTCACCACCGGAATGAAGGTCAAACGAAAACTTGGCATGGGTCTTGTATCACAGCAATCCCTATCCAACATTATCAAATTCATAAAAAATGTACTATCAAAGTCAGATGGTGGTGGTGGTGGTAGTACAACATCAGGAAGTGGTCTGAATAAATCTGCATTGAAAGCACTCCATGCAGCCAGAATGGCAGTCAAGAGGGCTGGCGGTAAAAAAAGAATCAGAGTACCAAGAATCATACCTCTTCCACACAGTGGCGGTATACTACCATTGATACCAATCTTTGCCGCCTTGGGAGCCCTAGGATCTCTAGCTGGAGGAGCCGGAGCAGTCGCAAAGACAGTCATTGATGCGAAAAATGCAAAGAAAAAGCTCGAAGAAGATCAAAGACATAATAAAGCAATGGAGGCTATCGGCAAGCAGGGTTCCGGCCTATTTCTACGCAAAACATCGAGAGGATTCGGACTGTACTTGAAGAAACAATCAAAAAACTCAAAAAACTTCTAGACAAGCTACCCAATAAATCAATGTACGATAAAGATGTGATAAAGTATGCCAAACAGCTGAAAATACCGAATTTTCGAGGTGTTTTTATGCGGGACACTCTACCTTCCACCGGTCCATGGCATCGCGAGTGTGCTGTATTGAATTTGGATACCGCCAATCATGCGGGCACTCATTGGGTGGCTTACATAAAAAATGATAAAAAAGCCTTATATTTCGATAGTTATGGCAATCTGAAACCGCCCAGAGAATTGGCGCAATATTTGGGTGCCAGCACGAAAATCTTGTACAATAACAATCAATACCAGAATTTCAATCAAAGTAATTGTGGACGTCTATGTTTAGAATTCCTTTTTAATGAGACCAAGTAACTCGGTCATTGTGCATCAGTCATGTCTCTGATTGTGACGTTGAAAGGTCGTACATCTACGCTCTCCATAGACTTTTTGACACCACTCCAACTCGATCCAGACTCTGATTACGGACTAGCATTGTTGGGATTCCATTCATACAACAGTATACCGAATATCGACAAAGGATCAAAGTTTTATCTGCAAGATAAGACCAAGGCGGGAAAGATCATCGATATTCCCGAAGGTTCATACGACATTGTGGACATTGAGACATTCATACGCAAAGAATTGGGCATCTCAAGTGCAAAGGACGTTGATGATATATTCTCGTTGAAGCCCAACAATAATACACTAAAGTGTGAGATTTCGAGCAAACAGTTTGCCATTGATTTTCGCCCGAAGGATAGCATAGCTCAAGTCTTGGGATTTTCAAATAGATTGTTGAACGCACAACAAGTCCACACTTCCGATTTGCCGGTCACCATAACCAAAGTGAGAACCATTCACATTGATAGCAACGTTACTGCTGGAGCTCTCTACAACGACAGACCATCACATACGATCTACGAGTTTGCAGTTGCAGTCGATCCTGGTTACGCCATAGACGAGACTCCCAGAAATCTAATCTATCTACCTATAGTCAGCAGGCGGGAATTGCCCAACATTACACTCCAGATTCTAGACCAAGATTTCAGGCAGGTGAATTTTAGAGGTGAAGAAATCATAATAAGATTGGAATTGAAGAAACTCGCGAGATGGTACTAGTGTTTGATTACTCCTATAAATCAGATAATATACCATCATCAGCAACATCATCGGCACCAGTTCTCTCGACACCGTGCACCAAAGCAGTCGTGTCTTCGAAGAGCAGCAGCAGCAACAGAAAAACATTGACATTATCCAGTGTCCTGTTTCTGAAATCTTTCAAAGACTACAATGTTGTTAGCACCCGTGTTCGACGTTTTCCGCAAACCCAGATTCGACGAAAGCATCACTAAAGTGGAATGGCGTACCTATTATCCATATGTGAAATCATTCGAGAACAATGATGTCATCGATATAACGGTTAATCAAGCAGATTCGTGGTTGGCCATGTTTGAAGGCATCATTACCATCAAGGGTAAATTGAAGGTGACCGGTGGTGGTACTGGTACATTAACCCACAATGCTGGAGCTTATCTCTTTGATTCCTGCACCTATGAATTGTGTAATAAAGAATTGGACACTGTCAGATATCCTGGAATAACGAGTACTGTGCGAGGATACTTGTGTTATACGCCTGAAGACTCACGTCATCTAGCCATAGCAGGCTGGAACTATCCCAATGCTCCGATCCTCAACACCGATGGTACGTTTAGCATGAACATTCCACTGAAACATTTGTTTTCCATCTTCAATGATCATCAAGTGGCAACGTGGGGCAAGCAGTCAATCCGTTTAGTGAGAGCTCGCAATGATGCCAATAGTGTGAAGGTTGTCGAGAGAGCGAATACTGCTTTGCAAGGATCTCCTCAGACTCAGAGTATTGCTAAAATAACGATAGAAAGCATCAATTTGAAAGTGCCACATCTCACACCCAACGATGACATAAAGTTGCAGTTGTTGACACGTATCAAAGCAGATGAGTCTATGATGATACCGTTTCGCCGATGGGAATTGCACGAGCTACCAGCACTCACACAAGGATCTACCATAGAAATCTGGTCCGTAAAGACATGTTCTGCATTGGACAGTCCAAAATATGTTATAGTATTTTTCCAAACGAAAAAAGCCGATAATTTGCATGAGGATGTCACCTTGTTCGATAATGCCAACATCAAATCCATACGATTGGCTCTGGATAGCGACTATTATCCGCAAGAAAGAATGCTATTGGACTTTTCCCGAGACCAATATGCCGATGCCCACTTCAACTATACAGAGTTCAACAAGAGCTACCATAACTGTCAAGAAAAGCGCTCTCTAGTAAACTTTGCCGAATTCAAATCCCGACCAATGTTTGTTATCGATTGCTCGAGGCGCCATCTGGGTCTAAAGTCGTCCACAGTTGACATAAAGTTGGACATTGAAGCGACTACAGGCTTCCCTCCCGACACCAAAGCCTATTGCATCATCATTCACGATCAAATCATGGAACATCTCCCACTCAGCGAAATTGTTCGAAATATTGCCTAGGTGGGTGTTGCTGCATCAGTCAGACGTCAGTTTGCTTCGAAGAGTCATGGAGATCGCACTGGTTGACATTCAAGGGTTCACGGTTGATGGTGAATTCATTCCAAAGGAAATGACCATTCGCATTGGCAAAAAGACGAGTCATTTTCTATTCAAGCCATCTGTAGAATTTTCCAGTTTAAGCAGAGAAGATAAAAAGATGGCAAATCATGTGGAGCGTTACGTTCATGGTTTAAAATATTCCAGTGGTTATGTGGATTTGAATGAGTTGGATCAAATACTACGAGATAACCTGCAGCAGACAAACATCATCTACGTAAGAGGCCATCAAAAGATTCAGTTTTTGCAGCGAAAATGTGCAGAGTTGGAGATGACCAATCACATTGTTAATTTGGAAGATTTTGACAATTCTTGGTGGCAACCAATAACGTTCCTACAATCCATTCCACCCTGCATGAATCATTTCCATGGAGGAAGGTTCCAGTGCAGTCTCCACAATGTCGATACTTTATATAATTGGTTATGTAATTTATTGCCAAAATAAAAAACTATATATCGTAATTTCAGAGTTTTTATTCATCACATCCCTTATTTCTCAGTATAATGAAAATAACATGCGAGATTAAAATGAGTGAACATATTAGTGTACAACAAAGTGTCAAAATTGCAATGATATTGACAGAATCTTGATCATCATCTAATTTTGCGGGTGATTTCTTCAATGTAAATGTCTGCCAGTCTCCCATTTCGCCGTCACTGCCATCAGAAAACGATAATTTCAATTTGTAGTCGATGGTGGTCCCATTGACTCGAGGCATGTCGATTGAATATACAGGTAGTTTGTTATCATTGACATACATTCTACTCATCAGCTTCCAATCACACTGTTGTGTACGATTCACATCAAAACATACGGCTGCATTCCTCGTATTGTACGGTATGTTTGTGTAGAAGACGTTGTTGCTCAGAGCTGTCAATAGAATGAAGCTTGCTTTCAGTATCGCCATCTAGTAGCTGTGTTGGTTGGATTCTTCTCGATGTAAGAAACGTTGCAACTGAACGTCTCGGTTCTGTGAACACCTTGTCCCAAATACTCAATTGCTCGAAATCTTTGAACAAACAAACTTTCTGCTCATACAATTGGATGTCTGCACTGAGCTTTCTAACTTTCAACCCAAATTCTTCTAGTGCACGTCTGTATTCGTCAGAAGACATGATACAACTGTTTTTTACATCCATACCTTCAACTAATATCCGTCCAATCTCTCTCTCTCTCTCTTTCTCTCTCTCTCTCTCTCTCTCTCTCTCTTCTTCTCACTTTTTTACCCTCTCACTCTCCCTTACACTCACTACCCATCCCAATGATACACAGAAAATTTCAATAATTATTTTATTAATGATAGATAGACAGCATATATTATATTTTCATTAATAGCCAGGACAAGTATTACATTTTCATAAGAAAAAACATATTCTGAAAAAAAAGTCATTTTTCATTGTCTTCTTTCGCAAACTACATTTGTAAAGATGATATCATGCTACTAAAATCTGTAACATATTGTTAAAGTAAGTCAAGAATCAATATCTGTATGTTCATCACCAGAATCGATGAATCTCTCATATCTCTGATAATGTGAATCATGTAAATCCATATCACATTCATATCGTTCTTTAAGCCCAAATAATAATTCTAAATCTAAAACAGAGGAGTGTAAGTGTAGGTGTATGGTTTTTTTTTTCTTTATAAATGTTTGATGAGTTGATTTACATGAAAAAATTACTCTTTTGCCTGTGTATGACCCCATGGCAATGTGTCGAACGAACCTGGAATCAAATACCGTTTATCATCTTTGGGACTCAGAGCAATTTTTGATTGTTGAATGCTAAACACATTGTGGGCATATGAACGGATAGTACGTTGAGACACTGTTTGTGCTCCGAAATTCTTCAAACAATTCAAATAATCTTCGAACCCAATTTTATTCTTGACAACATTAGTTTTCACCCCTTTCGATTTTTTGACAACCTTACCCCCTTGTACTTTATATGCATACATTTTCGAACGTAGTCCTACGAAATTAGTAACGATTTTCCCATTTGCTTCATCTTTTAATAAACCCAACTTTTTTTTATTGACTAGTGGCATATTATATTTATTATCTGGAGCATATTCAGATGTGTCAAATTGAGAGAGATCAGCCTTTATAACTTCTTCATATGCATCATCACATTTCAATTCATATATGAAGCTGTCTGTATCCATATATAACAATTTACACCTTTCAATACCCATTTTCGGAATCATATACTCATAGTGAAATTTGTACATACACAATTTTGATAAATCTAAAATGGCCATTCCTACGTATAGAGGTTTATTAAAAATTATTTCGGTTTTCTGCATCTCTATGGCAATCAAGTTTTCTTCAAAAATTGTTCTACCACGGAATCGTGGACTAGCTATGAGATTTCTGGCTCCATAACGTCCCTGCCATGATCTTACTAGTTTCACTAATCTATGCTTTCGTATGTTTTCCATCGTCTTACCGAAAACTGCATTATTCATTAGTTTATAGAGATTTTTCTCAAATTCATTTGTTGCGGCAGTCCTCAAAGAAGTATTCAGATCTATATATGATTTGAGCCAAAAAGATTGCCTGAATTTCAAAATTTTGTGGATTTTCGTCAGTTTCAGTCCGTTTGCTAAACATTGTTTTAAATTTCTATAGTGTAAAATATAATCTTTTTTGTCGTAAAGTGTTGTCATTAATTTTGGTAATTTTGAGCCGGGTGGTATGCGATGTTCAGCAGCAAATGGAAAGTCTTTGTGATTGTTATGCAAGTCGCGAGGATATTCTAAGTCTACTTGTAAAATATATCCTTCAAGAGCATCATCAGCAATATTCATTACGTTGAAATTTTCAACGTTTTCCATCCATGAGAAATCTCCGAATGGTAAAGACTCTGACATTGCCCAACCATACAAATTATTTACATCTAAATACATGAGATATTTTGAAGGTTTATTGGAATCATATTCAGACATATACTTGTTATTAGCTTCTGAATACCTACCACTACAAACAGAAATACCACCACGTAATGCCTTCTCGATGAACATGATTTTATCAACGTCATTCAATAATTCCAGTTTGCATTTGGTGTACTTTAACATGGCATCCCATGTATATCCAGGCATGGTATAGTACCATGCTGGATCTAACCCATAAGTTGTCCTACATTTCTGCCGGAATTTCTCGAAAACAGCGGTCAACAACATAACGTCTGTTTTTAAATATAAGTCAGAATATTCCCCTAAATTTTGAATTTTGAATGATGACCATACCTTTTGAGCATGGGCGTACTGCTCATCGCTAATGTGTTCATCATTCAATTTATTATAAAAATATTTCTTTGTAGGTAATTCAGTATCATTCAATTTTTCCAAACAACTAATGTAATCGTAGGGAAAGACACCCTTCTTGGTGAGGAGGTTGAATGTATCGTCATTCAAATGACTGAATTCTTTTTTCAAAATTTCAAAATCTTTTCTATCCATGATTGAAGATAATTTATCTAAGGATGTACCCATGAAGCGAAAAGAGTCAATAAATCGGAATTTGATGCCTGTATTGTCATCATGTAAAGTGAAAGATATGTACTTTTCCATGTTTATTGGAAGTATGCTCATACGACCCTTTTTACTCAATTGACTGATCATGAAATGTGAATCATATCCTATCAGGTTGTGAAATGCAATTGGAACAACAAAGAGTTTCTTGAAATTTATGTTACAGGGTGCTTGATGCGCCCACCCCCTGAACTCGCCTGAAAAGTGATTATGATCAGATACGATAATGTCTTTCTCCCTGAATGGTTTCTCACAAATATGACAGATTTTTGCTTTGCATTTGTCAGGACTAACAGTCATTGGCACGATTGTTTTGATTTTAGATTGCACCATTTCAGCTATCTTCGACATTTCATTCGCAAACCAATCCATACAATCTTCACCCCTATGGCTATTGAAAAACGACAAGGAATCATCGAAATCACATTTAAAATAATAGCCTGCACTATGAGCCACATGTTTCTGATATTTGCTTGTTTTTGATGAAACCATATCATCCACATGTTCTAATTGACATTCAAAGTCTGCATAAATTATAAAGGGGGTGGTTTGTTGGTAGGTGAAATTTTTGAATTCTATGTGATCATATTTTGGAAATGAAACTTTGCATTGGTTCAATTCAGAACACAGCATTTGATGATCAATCAATTTTTGTTCACATTGAAAATAATTCATGCATCTTTCACAAATAAATTTTTTACCATTATGTTTATTCACTTGGCTTGATATTAATCTAGACATATCTTGAATCAAACAGTAATGGTATTTGATGTCAGAATCTTCTTCATCAATCGGAGGAGCCTCATAATCATTTAATTTTGGATAATATTTGTTTTGAATTAGCAATAGATTAACGTGCCTTTCTAATTTATTTTTTGTAAGTCTGGCTGGCACCACAGTATAATATGATTTTTCCTTGACTAAATTCAACTCTAATGTGTATACATTCACGGAAATGTTATTGTCTTTTTCAAATTTTGGAATTTGACGTAGAGACATGGGTGCATCTAAATCTACTGTTTTCAGAACTGTAGTGTAATATGGATATGAAGAAGTCCGTTCCCTATGTGTTTTCGCTGGGTAGAAGGCACTTATGATTGACCAATAGAAACATGCCGAGTCAGTATTTTTTATATTCAAACATGCTTGCTTTTTAGAAATTTGTTCTGGCAGTCTAATAAAGGATGAACCATTTCCCATTTCAAGTTTGTTAATATTAACTTCCATTGATATTATTTTATGCAAAGCCCACCC